CATACATACATACATACATACATACATACATACATACATACATACATACATACCATACATAGATAGATGCAGATATACCCCTGGCTCTACACAATCTGCTGTGCAGAGCTTTTCTGAAACCTTCCATGGAATGAGATGAGCTCTGCTCCTGGCTGAACTGTTCCTGGCTGAACACCAAGATGAGTTCTGCTCCTGGCTGAACTGTAAGGGAAAGGAAGGGAAGCAGGGCAGACCTGCAGGTGTTCTTTCCTTCCTCACACTGCACAGGCTGCACACAAAACAAGCAGCACTAAACGGGGACCCTCTGGAGCTGCGTGTTTGTCCCCATATGTCATGGTCTATGTGGCCCTTTTGCTATGTCTCTGCCACATCCTAAGCCTCTAGTTGCAGTTTTCCCTTTTCCTTTGGTTTTCTGTTCTTTTGAACTTAGGAAATGTCAGTGGTTTGTCTCAAGAATCTTTGGGCAGGGACACGACTTTTTATTTTATTTTATTTTATTTTTCTCCTTACAGTCAGAGCAGGAAAGGGCCATTCAGCTTATCTTGCTCATTTCCTGAAATCCAAACAACTTTCAGAAAACTACCTCACACCCTATCCATTCAAATATGTCTCTGCCCTTGGAGCCATTTCTACTTGACAAAAAAAAAAATGTTTGGAACTTGCTTTGAAAAGCCTCCACATAGTTTGACAAATAACTTAGAAAGTCTAATGCAAAAATTAGTGTGGTTAGTTCTCCTCTATGGAAATGATTTAGAAAAAAAAAAAAAAGCTTTCTTTCTTCATAGACTAGCACCCCAATTGGCTGTCGCTGTCGTCAGTCCCCAGTGGACTGAGGGCTGATATGTTCAAACTCTGCCCCAGAGTCTGTGTATCTACTGAGGTGTGTGTGGGGGGGAGGGTGTCTGCTTCTTCTCACAGCTCCCCTTGTCCTAGCTGAGAAATGCGCTTTGAGATTGGTGTGTGATAGAAATGAAAGATTTTTGAAGAAATCTACTTTTCCTCAATCAGATCAACTGCATTTTAAAAATCATTGAAAGAACATTGGGGTTCTTGGATGCAAAAGAAAAAAAAGGAAGAATTCTAATGCAAACCTGTCTTTAAAAAAGAAAAGCGGTCACCAGGCAGATAAGTTGTCTGTACAAACCAAGTACATTTCCAAACAATGTGCGTGCCTCAGTCAATGATCTATACCCCTTCTACAATGTTCTTCCAGCTTTCATGGGCAGCATGGAACTGTCAATGGAGACACACCATCAGGGCCAAGGTTCAGGAAGTGGGCATGAGCAACTTTCTCACTTGACATAACACTGAGATGTTCCGTCAGACTTGACAATGTACCTAGCGTGGTCTTGGGAACGTGACAGTGGTGTGCGTTTATCGAGTCTGGTCATTACGACTGCTATGATGTCCAGAGGCCTGCCAGGACTGCTCTGCCCAGTTGGTGCCATCAGGAATCTGTTCCTTGTTATCAGCTGAGGCTGTGGATGAGGATGTATTCATCCATCAGCCCTCACTGCTCGTATGGAAACCCTTAGCCAACACTCATCAGAGGAGCCAGCCTTGGAGTATGGGAAAGTTCCACTATCAAACCACTGGATTTGTAGTCATATTTCATTGTCAGAGTTAAAAATAAAACCCAGCCACCCCAAATCATGACATCTCATTCTTTTTAGTAGAAAATGATTATTTTCTATTTTTGAATAAATTCCAGTGGCATTTTACTTACTAGGATGCTTTGATAAAAACTTAATGAAAGAGCCATCAAGGCCATTGTTTTTAACCCTTTAAGCAGCTTGTTTATTTATTTACCTATTTTTGCCTTAGTTGTGGTGGTTTTTTTTTATTAAAAATAGATTTTTTTCTCACATAATATATCCTGATTACAGTTTTTCCTCCTTCTACTTCTCCCAGTTCCTTCCCACCTCCCCTCCCATCCAGATCCACCCCTTCTGTCTCTTATTAAAAAAAAAAAGTCTTCTAAGAGATAATAATACAATATATAAAATACAACATATATATTATATATAACAATATATATAAAATATAATAAGAAAAACAAAAACCATCATATCAGGGTTGGACAAGACAAGCAAAGAGAAGGAAAAGAACACAAGGGAAGGCATAAGAAGCAGAGACTCACTCATTCATACACTCAGGAATCCCATGAAGACACTAAACTGGAAGCCATAATACATACACAGAGGACCTGGGGCAGACCCATGCAGGCTCTGTGCGGGCTGCCTGTCTCTACGAGTTCATAAGAGCTTTGTCCATGTTGATTTAGACAGCCTTGTTTTCTTGGTGTCCTCCATCCCCTCTATCTCTTACATGAAGCTTCTCTGATTATAGCTGAGCAAGGCACTGATCTATGAGCATAGCAGATAGTCATTAAGAATCATTTTATTAAAAAAAAAGGAATCATTTTATTGTTATTTAAAAAAAAATAAAGAACAGTAGTATTTGGTTTTACCTAAGTCCCTGGACTATCTCGCTTCTGGTTTTTAGTCACCCTGGCAGTGTGGCATGGGTTACATCGTGGAGTGGGACTGATGTCAAATCAAATATTGGTTGGTTACTCTACAAGCTCTGTGCAACTACTACCCTAGCGTACCTTGCAGGCAGGATACCACTGTAGATCAAAGAGTTTGTGGCTGAGTTGGTGTTTACATTTTTATTTGGGTAGCTTGCAGAAGTCCTTCCTGTCCCAAAGATGCTAGAATGTAGGGGAGAAGGCTCCAGCTTCTTGACTTCTCTGTGTTTAATGAGTTGTATTAGTGTTGTCTTCAGAAACAGGTCCTTGCTGCCAGTTCGTGGAGAGCAACCTATAGTCTTGACAACAACCTGGGGATTCTCATGGGACCTCTTTGGTCAACAACTTGATTAGATGTAATCTAATCCTGGTAAGTGGCAGCTTTATTTGGTGGTTAAAAAAAAAAGAAAGAAAAATGGCTAGTTGGAACTAGTAAGAACTCTGTCGTCCTTATTATTTGGCTATTTTCTTTAGATTGCCTTCATGTCTGTGTATATTTTAGGAAACTCTGACTGTGGTATGTTTCCATATTACCCTTCAGATAACCCTTAATATTCTTTCTCTCATCTCCTTGCCCTTGATCCTCCCATACCAGGTCCTTCTGTCCGTTAATAACTATATATTCTATTTCCCTTTACTAGTATCTTACTCTGTACCCAACCCCTGTGGTTCTTTGATCGTAGCTTGGTCATCATTGACTTCACAGCTAATATCCTCATATAAGTTAAAACATACTGTACTTGTCTTTCTGAGTCTGGGATACCTCAGTCAGGATGATTTTTTTTTTCTACTACCGTCTATTTACCTGATGGCTCACTGATAAAGGCTCTGACCACAGCTTGTTTACTTATTTCTTGGTGCTGAGGCTTAAACTCAGTCTCATGCTAAGTACGTGTTTTACCACTGACCTGCACCCCCCAGTTCAGCACATTTTTTTTTTAAATTTTAACCATTTGGGTTATATCTTCCCCCTGAAGGAACCCTTAGTTGTCTTAGAAAGTAAAGTTTTTAAACAGTGATAGAAATCTAAAACAGCTGGACAGAATGATTAATGCCTATAGTGGGAGGCTAAAGCAGGAAGATAAAACAATTCTAGGCCATAGAGGCTTCATTCCTACTGGCTAGAGTAATGGTTTTGGAAAGTACTAAGAACAGAGGAGAAAAGTGAGTGTCAGTCTGACGCAGGAAGAAACAAGGCGAACTACAATAATGACTGGCTTGGCAAGATCCGCTCACTGGCGCGACGGTGGCGCAAATGTTAGAGCAACCAAACACTTTCTGCTAATTGGCTATGATACTAAACTGACTTCTAATGACTTCTTGTTATAACCTTGTCAGAGAAGCTTCTTGCAGAAAATGGCAGTTAATATGGAGACAAACAATCAACATACAGAGAAGAAGAGACCGCAGAGTGCTCAACACTAAATGGACCGTCTATAGCACACTCTTCTCCCCGAGGCCCAGCAAGCATCACAGAAGAGGAAGTGGAAAGATCGGCAGAACCATAGGCAATGGATGACCACAACAACGACATCAACAAAACGTTTTCTGGACGCAACTGAGTTGCTATGAGTTGTCCACATGAACTCCTAGCAGTTTCAGCAGCATGTTCAAGGCCTACACGAGTTCAAGCCAGGAAAAATCCCATAATGGAGGAGAGGTAGATCCAGAGTCACACCCTTGGCTGAAGAGCTACCAGCAATTGATATCTGTCGAGAGAAGGTGAGTCAGTTCTCTTTAAGGGTGTGACTCCTGGTAGGTCAGCCAAGCTCCAGAGCAGCTATCACACCCAAGAGTATCTGGACAGCACAAATTGGACTCCATGTGTTTAAAAAAAGAGGACATAAAATTGAGTTGGTGAGGATTGGGGGTTAGATCTGGGAGGAGGTGGGAAGGGAATGAATATGAGTAAAATATACTTATGAAAATTTCAAACAGTTAATTAAAATATTATAAAATTATAAATTATGAAAAAAATACAAATTAAAGAATCTCAGGTCAGGCTGGGGTACACAGCAAGTTTAAGGCCAACTCAGGTAACTTAGACCCCAAATAAACTTAAAAACAAGCTGGGAGATGGAGCTCAATGGTAGAGCTCTTACCTAGCATCCACAAAGCTCTGGATTCAATCCCCAACAATGAAAGAAAAAAATCCTGTTCATTTTTAATTCTACAGGCCATGTAAAACATGTGTGTGTGTTATGTATATATGTGGTTGTCTGTACACATATGTGTATGGAGACCAGAGGTCAATGTTGTCTGTTCTTTTCCTACCCTTCCTTCACCTTGCTTTTTGAGAAACAGTCTTTCACTAAACCTGGAGTTCAATGATTTGGTCAGGCTGACTACCCAGCAAGCTCCAGTGATCCTGTCTCTACCTGCCCAGCACTGTATTACAGGTGCACACTGCCAAACTTACCTTTTTACAAGGGTTCTGGAAATCCAAATTCAGGTCTTCCTGCGTCCTGCTGAAGTAGCAACCAGATTTCCAGTAGAGCCATTGCCTAGCCCCCTAAAATACATTTATATTGTTGTCCAATCATTACACTGCTCGTGAGTCAATTATATTTAACATGTGTTAACCCTGCCTTGATGTAAGAGCTGATTAATCTTAACATTAAATAACTTTGTATTGATAACTCCATACCATTGTTATACTGTCCAGTATGTTGTTCTGCTATAAAAATGTTTTTCAGTGGAGGAGTGAAATGTCTATGGATGTTTATCCAGTGTACTAAGGAACCTCACTCAAGATAATATTGTCTTACTACTCTTGTTCATTGTTGTTACTCATCTTCTCTCACCGGGATGTAAACAATAACTTTTCTCCACTTGCAGTGACATTCACTAGTTCCTGAACTGCTACCTGGACAGCCAATAGCTAAAGTTCAAGTCCAGCTGTATGAAACTCTGCGAGTACAGTCACAGATCCTCTGTGAATGCATTCCATGGTGTGCAGTGTGGTAAAACTGAAAAACATCCTTGCTCCTTCTGGGATCTTTGCCTTATACTGCAGTGAGTGACAGCTCTCTGACCTATAAATAAAGGATGACTCTTTTTCTTATTTATCTTGGTTGCCTTAAACTTCCCTTAACATCAAAAGGCAGAGCGCAATAGTAACATCTGCTAGCTTAGTCCCCACTGTGAAAGCAAAGGAGAAAATTCAATTAAGGAGACAGAAAATTTAAGCAAAACTCCCTGTTAGGTTACTATCATTTCCTGCCATCAAAATAAAAGACAGATTCTTTCTGTATTTACTCTTGGTTTGCCTTGCTCATAAAGTTATTATTTCCCTCCACATTTCAGGCAGAGAACTCTGGCCAGAACCTAAACCTTTTAGATCAACCAGAAACAGGCTCGGTTGGAGGAGACGGCAGGTGTGTGGGCATGCTTTCCACATGCCTTCTCCATTCTCTCTATCAGCATGTCCTAGACAGAGGAGGATTTCCTGGGAACATCTACCACTAGAGCTGTATTTTGGAGTTTCCATTAGGTCACTGGTTCTCATTGTGGGTAATTTGGCCAGCCAGGATATATTTGACAATGTCTGTAGACATTTGTGATTGTCACAAAAAAGTGTCACTAATGTAGTAAACAGCCTGCAGTCCATAGGCTAACCCTTCCACAAATCTCCACAATGTCCCCAGCTGCCAAGACTGCCAAGTCTAAGAAAACCCAGTTTTATGGTTGCAGAGAGCATTAGGAAGGAGAAATGGAAGCCAAGACAGGTACTGTGGAGAGAGCAAGGACCAGTCTCTATCAGTTGTGGCATAGATGCAAAAAGGTTCATGAAACGTCTGTGGGTAGCAAGAGTTCTTGAAAATGGATTCAGGAAGCCAGAGAGCTAGTGTTTATTTGAGTTTGACCCTACAAAATGTGAATTAGCCGGTAAGAAGTTGTGGTTGCTGAGGTAAGCTGACTAGAGCACTTGGGGGTATGTTTTTGTGTCTCCTCTGAATGTGTAATCAGTTTTTTTCTACCCCGAAGAGCAACTGAGATGATGACCTAACTATGGTGAGTTCTACAAATAATGAACTAGCCATGGATCTTCGAAGGAACATCCTGCTTTGGTTCATTGGTTTGAAACTGCATCTAAGGTTTATTGGCCCTACTCCTTCAGCTTTTGGATTTGTGGGGGGGGATGGGGGTGTGGCTAAATAATCAAAATTAAGCTTGTGACTTTTCACTTGAACAGTTCTTGCCAATGAAGTGTTGACTATAGTAAAATAGTCTCAAAAAATGCATTCAACAAGATGCCAATTATGCAAATTTTTAAAAAGACAAAAACATTCCTAAGCTTCAACTATGAATACTATAACTGGAGAAGAAACTACAAGCGTGGACTGGAAGGGTGCATATCTAACTCAACAGGGGATCTTCTAGGAAACAAGAAAATAAATAGGACTAAGAAGGGACTCAAAGAAGGCTCCAGTTTTATCAGAAAAACTTAGTTTTATTGGGGAAAAAAAAGTCTGGACTATAGATGATATGATGGTAACATTTGTCCTTCCTAAATATTGTTTGTACTGGGCTGAATAATGCCTCTCCCCACCCAAAATGTACATCCACTTTAACCTGTAAATGTGGCATTGTTTGGAAAAACAAATCTTTGCAGGTGGAATTAAGGATCTGCACCTGATGACATTGATCTGGCTCAGGGTGCATCCTAAGTCCCCTGATGAGCTTTCCCATAGCAGAATTCATTTCTGATTCTAAAATTCCAGAACTATTTATCACCCTCAAATCATGCCGATACAGCCTAGAGAACACGAAGCTCCCACTTAAGGCACACACTGAAGTCTGGCTGGCCCAGCAGCCCCGCTGACTCCGTCTTTCTTAGGCGGTTTACAGACCCAGTCTTGCTTGGCATCAGGGTGTGATCACAAAAGCTGCCTCCTGTTCCCTGAGCCTCTCTTGGGGACCTTGAGGGCCATGTGTTCCAGATGTCAAGGCTACAGGTAGATAAGAATTGTCTAAAGGGAGCAGTCTGCCCCTGCCTTTAACGAGCAAGAAGAATATTTTCCACTTTTAATTTATTTGTGTTGGCTTTTGGAGACAGGGCCTCATGAAGCTGAGACTGGCCTTGAACTTGCTGTGTAGTTGAAGCTGAACTCCTGATCCTTCTGCCTCCATCATGTTCACATGCAGGAAGTGTAGGTGTGCATCACCACCCACAGCAAGGGACCTTTCATTGTGCAATGAGACCGTGGGCTGTGTCTGCTCTGTGGCAAGCTCCTTCCTGACACATACAATGCCTAGAAGTAACTATCTCATCTCTAATCTACCTACCTCCCCTGGCACCAGCATTTTCAGATCTTGCAACCAAATTCTTCTATCACTGGGGCCCTGTCAGTTCTCCTCAGGATTATTAAGCTATTAGTCAGTGTGCATTAAAATCAAATCACAGCCTCTTCCACCGGGACCTCACAAACATTCCATAACCAAATAATAGTTTGCATCTCTCCTCTGACTCAGAAAAGGAAATCGCAGTACACCACATTTTGCTCAATTAGTGACAACAAAGCCACTTTCACTGAGGCTCGGGATGGCAAGTCTTGTAAAGCCACTCAGCTCTGCCCTCAGTTCCCTGTGGGTTTGTTTACTGACGCTTCAGAAAGGGGAAAGAACGCTTCAGCATGGCTCAGGTGTGGAGCTGTTTATTACTTGTAACTGATACGCTTTTCCTAGTCTTTTTTTCCCTTCTCCCTCTCTCTGTCTCTCTCTTCCTCATCTCTGTCTCCCTCCCTTCCTTCCTTTCCTTAGTGTTTTCTTTCTTTCTTTCTTTCTTTCTTTCTTTCTTTCTTTCTTTCTTTCTTTCTTTCTTTCTTTCTTTCTTTC